TTACCAAGTGGCTCGTTGTCTTGGAAGAAGGTGCCGTACCGATTTGTGAAAACCTGGTCAGCCACTTCCGAAATGCGCGGAACCTGCTCGTAGAATTCTACATCTCAATTTCAGTGTATTTAGTACCAACGAATATCAACTAAAACAAAACAACTCATCAGGCCCAGCAAGTCTTTTTCCAACTCTTAGCTTCCGAACCTCCACTCGCCATGCACTGCCCGCGCGTGTCTGCTTGTCTGGCCCTCCCAAGGTGCAGTGCGAACCTCCTCCGCAAGACGTAGCAGAGCGTCGTCTGTGAACTCGAAGGCATCGGGGAACTGCTGCAGCAGCTGGAAGACCTCAACGCCGACAAAAACAACAACTGCAGTTCTCGACCCTAAGGGTGGAGGGGTGGTCCCCCACCCCCCCTCCTGAGGTGGATATTCCCCTGCGGAAAAATGTTAACCCCCCCACCCCGCCCCGCCCAAACAAAAAACACCTTTGCAAAGCTGAAGTGTATTGCAACACATTGCAACATGCTTCAGGCAGTATGGCAGCATTTTGGTTGTTGGCTGAATATCGATTTGCAAATAATGACTCCAGTTTCGACGGGCGTTTGTCATGGTCAAATGGCTAAAGGGTGCCCTCTGCTCGAGACAAGGACAATCCGTTTTGAGCATAAGATTGTGTGTGACACAGGGCAGGGTGCCAGATTGACCAACTAAGGCTAGGATAATTAATACCACCAAGAACATCAGCCTTTCGACTTTCGACGAAAACACATATGAGACTGAGTCACACTGCTGGAAGTGTCGAGCGGCAGTCATGTTGTCTGCTCCAACACACGGCATTGGTTCTGAACCCGGCCAGTCTCCGATACACTTGCACCGCAAAACATGTTTCATGCCAACTCATCTCTGGAAAGTTGTTCGCACGAAGCGAGATCCTCCCATTTCGCACCAAACAGCACACATGCACACATCTCCATGATTCTCCGTACTTCTGCAAAACATCTGAGGCTAAAGAAGCCCAGTGGGCCAAGTTTCCAACCACCTCTCCAAAATGAGCCATCTCCTGATTCCCTCACGGCGCTCCGTCGGCATCCTGTTGCGGCTTGACCTGAGGTCCTGGCACACTCCAGCCACTGGACGATGACAGGGCTATACTCCGTGGTGGGCGCATCGCCCAGCCTGCCATCGAATGCCTCAAGTGCCTCTTGGGCCGGGGAAATGTGCAGATTTGAATCTCTGGGCTCAGGAGGTTCTCCTCATGAAGCAGCTCCTTCTACTGGCTGTTCAGTCAAGCGCCCCAATCAACCGACGCAGGGTGAGCACCAGGACAAACTGGCTGAGAAACTCTCAGAAAGCATCGGTCCAAAGCATGGTCAAACAAGATGTGGCACTGGCTCTACTCAATAACCCCCACTCGGTTCGCAAAGACAGACCTAAATAGGGAGTAGACAAGGGGGTGAGAAAAGGATGAATGATGAATGATGGGGTCAATAAGCCCCGACTGAAGTAAGATAGTTCTGCTTTGGAGTCTGGTCTAGGGGTCTGCAAACCAAGTATTTGCAACAACTATGGTAGCAAAGTTACCGGCCAATCAGTCTACAACCACCCCTTGAATCTTCAGCGCAACAAAATGCCTCCTCCCACCCAGTCGCGCTATGGGCCATCAACCCAACACGAAAAAACACATTCCACGCTTGCACAGGCTTAGACCTCAAGCAATCATGCAAAAGGTGGCAATCTGCAATGCATTTTCTGCACGCTTCTGAGCTTCCCACATCCGAAGAAACACACAACTGTGGGATATCATCCTTGTTTTGAAGTGGGCAGAGCCGTAAGACATGACTTCCATAGGAGCTGGAATGTCATCCACTCACTCACTCTTTATCCATTTCCTGTCTGTTGACGGTGAGTAACCCATCCAAAATCCATCCATCACTTCTAAGCTTGACATGGGATCTAACCAAAAATAGCTCGGAGAGCAAACTCATTCTTCTTGCTTTATTCTCTGGACTCGATTTCTCTTTCATAATGTTGAACATTTCAAGTTGGTTTTAGAAAGATTTATGGCTGAAAGCTGAAAGCTTCCTGGTTTATTTGGAAGCTTCACTATCTCTGCCGCATGGCAACCAAATCCACGCGAAAGCTTGCCAGGCAGACGCCAGGCGGGTGCGAAAGCGGTGCCCGAATGAGCACCACTCTTTCTGCACGAGTTTCAGGAAACCTGCCTCGCAAGCACCATGCCAAGCCTGCGTGTGCCCTATGTTTTGATTTTGATCAGGGGAGGATGAATCTCATTTGGGTCCATAAGAAATCGTCGCTTCTTCGAGGGTCTCCTGGAACCAATGAAGCAGAAAAAACCATTTGTTGCTCAAGACAAACTGGGGGAAGTCTCCAGACCTCTGGATATGACTCAAACATGCGGAGATCTTCGAGCATGGGAACTCCAGATATCACCGAGGCTTCTCGGAGATGGCGTAGCATGACTTGGATGCTAGCACTATGCCTGCACTTGGCTGCGAGGTCAAGCTGCGCTGTCAACAAGAAGAAAGCTTACCCTTTTGAGCGTCATGCTGCAGCCCAAACGAAACTTTGAACAGGTTTGAGGCAGCAAAGTACATGGATTATGGAAGTTAGATGTGCCACATCGTGGGAATGGCATTCAAACGCGTCTAAGTTGTAGCAGCCAACAGTTTTCATTGCAACCCTGACGGTCCGTATTCTTGCTGTGGTTCGATCCAAGAAATGCACACACCAGTCGAAGGCCAACCAATTTCTTACCTGAAGGACATGCTCTTTGCCTTCCAAACGCACCATAAACAATGATTGCAGTTTGGAGATTCTTTTGGGACAGGCCTGCCTCGCTTCATGTAGCGACAAGAACCGACGGGGAACAAGCCCAAACCGCCAGCTCCAACCGATGGATGATAAAGGCAAGCACTCATATAAATGACAACTCCTTTGAGTAAGGATAGCCGCCAATTGCAAATTCCGCCTTGAACGGATGCTCCGACAAAGGTAACACAGTTTACACACATCAAGTCCAACACATGGGCCAAGGCCTAAGCGAATTCAAAAGAGCGACTTTCGGCCAGCGTTTTTGAGTTGCTCACAGAATCAAGCTCCAGGCCAGCTTTTCATGGGCAAAACTACGCATGCGGTGCCAACACGAGTACATCCTTGGCTAGTGCGAGTCTCTTTGCGGAGTCAGTCTCCAACATTTTTGGCAAGGTTTACAACCTTCACACAAGGTTTACACAGCCTTAAAGCCATCCACCGCGTCACTTTCCAGGGCATGCGCCTGTGTTCTGTAGTACGGGTCCATGCAAAGCATGGCAAGGGAAGACACCTGGCGCGGAAACTGGGTCGCAAACTCTGTGAGATGTTGCGCTCTCTGGAGCAATCTGCTCTAACATGTCTCGACACGCAATGGCTTGCTGGCTGCTCATGCCGAGATTTACTCATTCATGCTCATGCTTACCTGCTGGCTTTCTGCTAGCTCTGCCAAGCACTCCACAAAGCGATGCGTGTTGATTGGATCTTTGGGCTTCTTCAGAGGTCTCAGCCCTGGAGGATGGTAGGGAACGGGGTGTCATGCAAACAAGCGGGCCAGTTTTGTTTCAATCCCGCGACACGAGATCACACCCACGGCACTGCATGCGTGGCATATCAAACATATGGCAGTTGATCAATATTCCTGTTTCCGGAAAACGCCATCTTCGCGAGAAAAAAAGTTTATTTCGCGAATCTTTCGCGACTCCATCGCCAAGCCCTTTTGTTTGCCCTTTTGTTTGCAGCATGCGCTCTGGAGCCATTGTGGCTGCTGCAGTTATGCTTGCACACAGGATAGCCGCACGCGTGCAGTACGTAGTGTTAAGTGCAAGCAGTCACCGTCATTCGCCCTTGCCACTTGCGCTTGCCGGCGATGTGCGGAACCTTGCAACAAGCTCCCTGGCCTTTCGCCGGTCTTTCGCGGATCTTTCGCGAAACTTGCTCCAAAATAGCCCAGCCAACGTTATTGATTTGCGCCATTCCCAACACAGGCAGGGAATCAATAATGCAAGTGTAGGTGCTGCGTATCTCCCTCTACAAGGGAGCGGGGTCTGCAAATATGTAAGTGCACAGGCATGCCTCCAAAAATCCAACGCGGAATCTTTCGCGAAAAAATAAGTTTCTTTCGCGAACTCCATCGCCGATCTTTCGCGGAGGGATTTAAGCCAAGACGAATGGTCACCGAATACATAACTCCTTGCAAGGACCTTTTGATCAACCCCCATATGTCAAACGACAAGTCGAGACTGTTCTTTGACCAGGAAGCCGAGACCGACCAAACAACCTGAGGCCCCCAATGCTTCCGTTTGCCCTGGAGCACATTGGAAGCTGCCTGATTTGGACTTCATGCGTTTGATCGCCCCTTCAGCAACTTTGACCGTCAATGAAACGAGCAAAATCGCAGGACGTGGGACAAAAATGTGAGTCCCCTGGTCATGTCTTCAGCATGCCCGCCATGCCTGCGCTGTTCTGTCCCATCCATCGGAGCAGTGGATCTGGCCAGCGATTTCGGGTCACCCTTCTGCCTCTACAAGAACCCAGGGTTCAAACCCCCAAACCACCAAGCCAAACCACCCACTAAAGAATTGAAACATGTTCTCCTGCGAAACCTCAACGCGCGGCCCAACAACGAGACTCAAACAAGTGCAAAGAGCCCCAATCAGTTTACCAGGATATGAGGCAACTCTTCAAGGCAACTTTGAGAAGAACACATTGCCTGCCCACCTTTCTCTGGCCGTTCCGTTTTTGGCATCAGCGATGCCACGACCAACCCAGCCAAGGTGGCCATGACATTGCACTTGAAGGTCACAATCTCTGTCACCGCCTTCAACCTGAGAGTGCCACAGCAACGCATCACATGGCCATGGGCTTTTCAAAAGCCAAATCGGTTAACCCCCAGTGAACGGGACCCAACCCAACCACTAAAGTAGGAAGCCTAAAATGGGTGGTGCACCTAAATAGACCAAAATGGGTGAGAAAAAACCTAGCAACCAAAATGGGATCCCATTCGGTTCTCACCAGCCACATCTCAATTTCCCCGATGCGAGGATGGGTGCCAACGGCTTGGCAAGCCATAGCATTTCCGTGATGGAAGCCAGGGATGAAGCTCCGCGTTCAAACAGCCCACCCAGGGTCCAAACGCACAAAACTTGGGGAAGCCTTCAATCACGGTGGTCGGGCGGCCACATGCACTGAGGTCAAAACTCCTTAGTCCATGGCCCTCTGAAATCCAAGAGTTCATGCCCCATGTGTCGCAGGGCATCAACTTGGCTCGGGTTGGAAGCGCACATTTTGCTTCGGGCCATCCGCTTTGCTGGGGGGTTCGCCATTGAGAGTTTAGCCGACATGCTTCGATTTGTCGCAGGTTGCCTTCCTTCCATCCATCCTAAAAGCCTTCGTGACAATCCATTAAAAGCCCAAGGGCCAGGGTGCTCTGATGGCATTAATTTTGCTGGCCACCTTGCCATGTCCGCCAGGCTCGATTCTAAGTTGGCGACGTGCAGGCAAGGATGGCGCCGATGTAATCGTACCTGGCCATGCGCGTCTCCTCGATAGTCAGTCAAGCAGCAGGTTCGCAAGACACTCAGACTCTCTTGCTGGGTTTTCTCGCTGGTGCTCAGCAGGGAATGACCCAGGGTTTTGGGAATGAACCTGGGGATTCGTTAAAGCAAACCATAGGGGATGGTTGAAGTGGTTCATTCCCTCATTCCCTGCTGAGAACCAGCAAGATTCCGCAAGTTGTGTTCTGAACTTGAACAAACATTTTGGGACACAAAAGCCGTGCTGTGCGAAAAACACCCACGGTCACGTGGTTTGGCCGCTCATAGGGTTTCATCCATCCCAGTGCAAATCGGATTTCGCACACATCTGACGCCCCAATCTGTTTCACGCCCTTTAAGCCCCCGTGCCATCCAGAGTTGGCGACGTCCTTCATCCAAGAGCCCGCCTGCAAGTGCGACTGGCTCATGATTGATTCAGCATGCATTCACAAGCACATGGCGAGATTCAGGGGAATGGCCAAACAACATTGCTCATATTCTCTCAGCTCACAGAATGTGCACTCTTTCTTTGGGCGCAAAAGGGGGCTCAAAACATGTGTAAGGCCTCGTTTGAGTCTTTTTTTGGCCTTGAGTATGTTTCCACCGCTATGGCCGTTTGTGCATTTGCGTAGTAAGTGTCAGCATGGGCATGGAAGCGATGTGAATGCTCCCCTATTAACAGGGAACCTCAAAAGGTCGTCCCCAAAGGAGAATCCTCTAGACATGGGTGTTGTTTCTGAGGTTTCATGTCAATCTGGAGAGTATGTAATTCATATACTTCCCTGCGATACACGGAACCTTGAAAAGGGCCCCTTTGCGGGTCTATATTATATACACGCGGGTGTTTCTCAAGATAGTCCCTCAAATTGGTTGGTTTCCATTTGGTTTCCCCAATACCAACCAAAACCGGCCCATTTTGAGTAACTCCCATAGATGTGTGGCTGCGGCGAATGTGAAATCCACAAAATAGCACCTTGGTAAATGAAAACAAAGACTAACACCTGCATAATCCCAGCTGTTTGACAGACGCTAATTGCAGTTTACTAACAATTCGCTAGATGGGGAACTCAGCACACGTATGGAAAGCTGTTTCTGGCCAAGGGAAGTGAACAAGCCAAGCTGAGTTTGGCTCCGGAAAGCTATGCAAGAGGGCCGATTTGCCAAGGCACGCCCACAGGTGGCAAGGGCGGAGCATAGGAGCTTCTCAAAATGGTTGGCCCTCCCTCTTGGATGGTTTCAAAGCGGGAACATGCCATGGCTTGGGTTCCTGCTTTTTGGAAACACTCATTGTTTTCCTACGGCAACAACTCTGGGCAGGGAAAATGCAGATTGCCTTTCGGGTCTAGCCAAGCCCATGCTAAAAGAAGACGAGCAATCCCAAGCCAGCGCTTCCAAACGGGAGTCACTTGAGGCATTTGCTCCAAGCTTTGTGCCGAGCCTAAAATCATAAACCCAAACCAACGCATGTGTTTGGAATTTCAAACCTCAGGCAGTGGTGCAATGTCCAGAATATAGAGCCTACCATGTCCTGCTTCAGCAAGAAGGGAGGGCCTTTCAGTACCATATTCCACTTCCACTCCTTCCTTTGTCTGTCCAAACGCAAATGACATTGACCCATCGGATACCCTCCAACACTCATGGACGCTGACACAAGGGTGTTGGAAAACGAAAGCTTCCGTTTGGGGAAGCCCCCAAAGAGGGTATCCATCAACTTTTGCTCAGGCGGTCAGCTGCCTGGTTCTCATGGATGCGTGTCACTGCCGCGCCCATGGCCCGCCACGCATCGCGCACCACGTGGATGTTGTCGATGCCTGCCAACTGAGCAGTTAGAAGAAACCAATCAGGCAGGGGAAACAGCAAAGGGACAGCCATGGAACTTCTCAACACAAAAGCAGGAGCATCACATCTCTGGGTTCTAACAACCGCTCTGCGATGGTTTGCTTTCGTGAGGCCTACAAACACCCTCAATAATGTCAAGGCTTCAGACTCAATGCCAGCAGCTTGATCCTTTTGTATTCCCTCTAGGACTCTGTGACTGCTAAAGCCTGCCTCCGAAGATTATCCCGGTGTTCGGGTACGACTCGAAGCCACCTCCGCCGGCCTGCATGTGATTGACGAAGCACAAACACAGAGACACACGTAGTTTCTGCAAGTAGCAAGAGGTAGTTTGGCCATGAGGATCCTTGAATCACCTTCCCGAAGAAAACCAGCCTCGGAATCCGAAAGCACAACAAGGCTGGGCAGCTTTTGGAGTCGTGGGGAGCTTGCCAAAGGCCTGGAAACCCTCTTAAACGAGGGCTGGCCTCATTTTTTGACCATGATCAAAGTCACCCCCTACAGTAAGTGGTGGGTTTAAGGGAAACAACCACATTTTCTGACTTTGATAACCCCCAGAAACCGTCAAAATAATGACCCCACAAGGGCCATGGCCTTGTTTGCCCAAGCGCTCATCTTCGGCCTGGCGCGGAAGACTCAGCGCTTCTAGGTCCCGGCGGTTTCCCTCGCCCGGAAGCACGCTGGAGGGCGCAAACCAATGGACCCAGAGAGCCACATTCATCCCATTGGTGCAAGATATCTGACGAAGAGTGGCGAAGGTATGCTCAATAGATGGGGCACAACAGGAAATCGTGTGGATTTGTCGGAAGCATTCCATCTGCAATGTGTTTGAGCCACAAGTGGCCTGGGGTTGCCACTCACCATGCTTCGATATTTGTTCAACGCGTAAACAATCCTAGGCCCCGCAGGGTCCACCGCAACTGTTGCAACAAGTAATCTCTTGATATCTGCGTTGGCTCCTCGAATGTCGGATGGTTGTGTCTGGTGTTGTCAGGGTTGTAACATTTATGTATTGCATATTTCCTTCAAGGTCTTGCGGCAATTTTTGTTGTTGGACCAGCTATGCATGCCTTTGCTATGCCCCAAATATGTTTTAAAGTGAAACTTCCATGCTTGGTCAGTACTATCGCATTGCAAGTGAGGGGGAAAACCACCAGCCTCAAGTCGATGAGTAGCAGGTCGCGCTCCTCCTGCTTCCTCTCTTTCCAGCCATTGCCCAAGCCTAAGGTGAGTCACAATCAAAACCTGGTATTAAAATGGTCTACCCAAACCCAAGTAAGGAAATGAACAGGCCGCAACTATTTCTGGCTGGGACTGCCCCTTACCAACCTCCTACTAGTACCCGGGCATGGATTGTGGCTCAGGTAGCGTGCACTCGCAGGGAGCAATCCGTGAGTCGATTAGTTTGCCCTGAAGGGGCCTCTTCCGTGTGTTCGGGGTCGCTTTCCCCTTTGAGAGCCTAACCGGCTTGAAGTGTCACGCAAATCTATTCCTGATCCTATCGACATGAGTACCTGGGAGATGTGAGTAGGTCTAACGGGTGGAGTAGTAGTTCCTCGGATAGGAGGATGTAAAAAACCTCATCGCTAGTTGCTCAAAGGGAAATGCCCTGCTCGAGGACAAGCAGGTGCGTTGTTCGTGTTCTGCGAAGCACTAAGTGCCTGACGGATGGCATTGATCATGGACTGATCCTGGCAGCAGATTTGTCACATGTTGCTTGCTTGGCCTCTGAAGCGTTGCAAGCGTTGTTTTGGAATGCAGGAATCCATTAAAGCACGCCCCTTTTGGAAACATGTTCTGGTCTTGCTGCATGGAATCACAGCTAAATTCAATACGCTTCATGAATGTTTAATCATGGGATGGCGACCTGCTGACGGCCACTCCGGCTCACAGCGCACGAACCTCAAAACATGTGATCATGATATCAAGAAACTGTTTGTCTTGCTGGTTCTTAAGGAGTGAGTCGGAATGACCTCGAACTAAGCCGATCCTGTCATTGCTACACTTCCCCAAGACTCCTGATCCTTCTGCTACTTTTGTCTGCTTTCCTTGCTCCGCATGCCAGCCTCGCATGATAGCGGGCTGCACTGGATGGGGCGGAAGCGGGGTGAGGGAGGTGGCTTGACCAGGAGGGTTGAAGCTTCTGGTGGCCCGAGGCTGGAGTGGGCCGGGTTTGTGGTGCTGACGTGCCTACGGACTGCGTGTTGGACCCCAGCTGCAGGCGCAAACACTGCAGGCGATGCTGGGGATGCTTCCACTGCAAGCATGCCAGTGACGTTGATGCTGAGGATTTGCTCGATTTGGCTTCATGTTTACGGCGTTTTCAGCTTTGCCTGGGGCCTGAGCTCCGACGACCTCACAAACCTTGAAGAGGGACAGTCAGCAGCATCTAGCAGGGCTCGGCGACGCAGGCGCGGCAACACCCATCATCGTCAGCTCCCATCTGTGTGGGCCACTTTCTGACAAATCTAACGGACATTCTACAAGTCAGCACAAGGTGGGGTAGTTGCCGATTTTTGTTTGCAGGACTTGCTGTGACCAGGGCCTGCCTCCACGCACTTTGTGCCAATGAGGCCCTCTGTTGTCCTTGGTGCGGCCGGGTTGGCTCAGAGGTTGATCTTTCCGGGCAACGCTCTAGAGCCTCCAAACAGGATGAATCAGCCCTCAATGACAGCCTCGTTCAACAAGACTGAAACTGATTAGTCCAGAAGTCTCCAGAGGACACGTGGAATCAAATGTCATTTTCGTGACTGCCCTGACCCTTGCAGAATCTACAGGTCTCTCAATTGGTTGCTGCTTCCATTTTGAAAGTCAGCTTGCGGTACCTCTCCAAAAGGGAGCACTTCTCTCACATGATTCTTCTTTAACGCCAAATTGCCGAGCTGTTCTACATGGCAACGATTGCACTTATGTCATCTGTCCAACACTGAGTGTCCATACTCCAATTCTCGTACTGCCATGTTCTCGAACTGTGGGGGGCAAGAAGTCATATCTTTGTGACATGTTCCTCTCTCACCGACCCCAGGCATCAATTCCTGGACACATCACTCTTACACTGCATGTTTCCATAATCGCGCTCCACCTATGAACGATATGCAGCTGTCCTATCATGTATCAAAATATGGCAATTCCGTGTTGCCGCCCAGAGATCTTCAATAAGCAGGGTGGCTCTCTGTTGAAGGCAACATTGGCCAAACGAGCCATCTGTGGGCAATATATCATTGCGATAGTGCTTGGGTTCTTTTCGGCCAAGTTCCTCTGCAGGTTTGTGGAAAATAACACCCTCGGTGATTCCACAGACCATCCTGACTCGGCTAGGTGGCCCCGAACCCAAACTTCGACCACGCTCCGCCAACCACAAACCTCTCCCTTGAAAATATTGCTGAGGTTTTGAGGATAACTTCACTTACCACCTTCCAGTCGAACCGGTGTTGGCGAAGATAGGTTGCATCCGACTCTCACAAACAGAGCAGCACACTGCACAACATCTCGCAATGATAGCTTTCACGCACAAAACTGTTGCGCAGCACCGTTTTTGAATGAAGACCAAGTTCTGAAACAATGTCGATTGCATGTGGCGCTGCGCAGGGTATACAATATGCACTATCTGCAGGTAATTATCACTACGTTCCCAAAGATCACTTTATATATCATGTGCCAGCACGCGCCTTCATTGCTCACATGAAGCCAGCGTCCCCAGCTCTCCAATCACGGAAGTCAACAGGAGGGCTTTGGAGGGCTGGTTTCCTTTTAGACAGCCTCAACATTGTTTGTTGTTAAAAGTTGCATCCTCGAAACTTCCTCCAAGTTGTGCTTCAACCGTTGGGGGTGTTGGTTTTTAAACACCCGCCAGTTGGCATGACCTTCCGGGTGTTGGGAGTGAACCGGAAGGGGATTCCCTTAAAGGAAGAGAGCGGGTCGCTGTGGGGCCTGGAGTTGTGCAACTATTAGTATGCTTTTTTGCGTGTTTTCAATGTTCTGGAAGCATTTGTATGCGCAGCTAGCACAAATGCACTGTTTTGAACTGGAGAAGCTCTTGCTCTGTGACATCATCAAGATTGAGCTAGCAGATTTGTACAAAACTGGCCAACCATGGAATTCATCAGCATTCATGTTGACATGGTTCAATCTCAGCAACAAGATACACACACACACAAAGTATAAGCATTTGAGAAGATCAAACAGACAAGATATGCTTCTTGGCCACTACAACCCTAGCTACATCTAGACAGCGGGCAGCAGGTTTCTTGAAGCACGTGTACGGGGAGGAGTTACCCTTGCACTTGATGGATACAAACCTGTTGAGTAGCCCACCTTCTTGTTCTTCACAGACTGGTTATGCCACTTGCAGAAGACCAAGACCTTGAAGGAGTGTCTCTGGGGCCACGTTTCATTGAGACTGCGTGCGTAGTTGCGGAACCACGCGAAGACGTGCTCTGCAGCAAACGTGTTGGTCTTCTTGAAAGGGCGGTGCAAGCGCTGGACGAAGTTGGGGTTGCACGTTTCACATGATGTCGAAGAAGTGTTTCAAAGAAATGGTTGCTTCGCTCAGCCTTAACATCCAAAAGCAAGATTTGACGAAAAAGGAATCAAGGAAACATACTAAAATATGCATATGCGAGAAAAGCTTTCTAAAGAAAGCAAGGAAACTGCTTCAAAGGCAAAGTAACGGGGGTCACGCTGCTCGAAGGAACTGGTCCTACAGGCACATGCCTTGAGATATCTCGCAAAATGAGATGGTCGGTCGCCTCCATGGCAGAAGCGAGAGTGAGATCTTCACCGTGCAGAGGCTGCATGATGGTGACAGGAACGAACGGCAAGAGCAGGATGGGGGGACACTTGAGAACTGCTAGCTGACATGGCAGCACACATACAGCAGACATTTCATTTGGAATCCTTTGCTGCTGACGGGGACAGATGTGATGTTCCTCAGGAAAGTGCAAACAACCTCGAGTTTTCCAAAAAACAACAGAACCAAACCGTAAGTCCTACCTGCATCTTCGTTTGCGCGCTATTTTCTGCTCAAAGGCCTGTTTGATACACTTTTATCCGGATTGCGCGTTCTTTAGTGGTTTGCGCGTTTTTGCTCATTTGTGCGTTTATTTCCCCTTGTCCCTCAAAAACCTTTTACATGTGCCTGGTGTCGACCAAATTCATGCTATGCTGTTTCTTAAAAAGGGAGTTGGCGGCATTTTGCTAAACCCTCCCCCCTCCGCCCCCACATGGGCAACACTCGCCCATGGAGAGGTTTGGGTTTGGTGTTCACGTGGAGCGGTTTGGGTTTGCTGGGCTGGAACCTTGCACTTCTGAAAGGATCCCCGACTTAGGCCCATAGGTTCAACTGATATATCTTAAATGGCTTTACTTGTGGATGAGGCTCTCAAGGGTAGCACGGCCTGGTTGGGCTCCCTGAATTTGTATCCCTCACATATTCCCATCAAAAGGGGCCATAGAGCAACAACATGCAATGTAACTCTCTGCTTCTTCCCGCAAAACCATGCATTCGGGATGGGCCTTTTTTTCTGCTCGAAGTGGTTTATGGCTATCCCTTGTCCCTTTCTCCTTCTCCGTTTAAGAGCCCCAAACCCAGCCCTTAAAGAACCACACCATCGGACCCCTGCCCCAAAACTCGGGTCCTTTTTGAAGGTCCCCATTATATATGTTAACTGTGCGTTTGTGTCTGTAGGTGCGTGCTCCCCGCCACGCATCGCCAGCCGATGCTCCTGGCGTTTGGCTGCAGGGGCGGTGGAAGGGTGGGTCGAGGGGTCGGCCCGCTTTTTCCAACCAGGGCCCAATTTGGGAAACACACCTACTCGATATGCATGAACATCTGTTAGAATATATCACTTATACACAACAATATACTAATATACATATAGATATATATATATATATGAATGCATTATATCCACGGCTATTGGGGTTACCCTTTAGACTTTGAGGTTTTGTGGTTCCCTCATTTTCTATGTACCCTTAAGATTATTTTTTTAGCTCAGGGGGTCAACAGCAACCAAGTTATGCCAAATTTGGGTTTTGCATCAGTCCGATGGAAACATGGTCCCTGGAATCATTTGATTGCTCTTGAAACACAGACAGCGCCAAAACTGACACTACCAATCAGCCTCCTAGCCATGGCTGGACGTCATGGCATCCAGATCCAGATCCAGATCCCCAAATCGCTGAGCTGGCCTGATTGTGGGAATGGGGGTGGGGGTGGCATGTGCACGGCTCCATCGAGGCTGGGCTGGCTCAAGGACCGAGCTTGGGGGAACCATGCAAAAGGTTTTAGAAGAATGGCTCAGCATGGATGACCTTGTAGCCAGCGCTGGAATGGGCAAGATTGTGGATCTGGTGGAGGACAAAACCACTGCCCTTGAAACCAACAGAGACATTTTGATTCCGGTCTTGAAGTGGGCAGGCCTCTGGGCTGCAAAGCGCTAGGGTTTCCAACAGAGACAAGGGTGTGCCTTTTTGATGCCAATGCTGACCCACCAAATCCTAGGTTTGCGCCCTGCTATCAATCAGATTGAAGACCTGTGTGATCTCTTTCTCAGACAGTGCCGGCCGAAGGGAAAGAAGGCCTTTGCCCGAGCCTTTGCTCAAACTTGCGTGAGAAATCCTTTAGGTAGCCTACAGCGCACGCACAATGTAAGGAGCTGTTGCAAACAATGAGGGCTGGATCTTGAGAAAGCTCATTTACCATTTTTCCAGAGCTTACGCAAAGCGACCTCACCGCCCTCGATCGCGTGCCATCCGTGAGATCTTCAGCATGGCTGATATTCCGCAACCCTGGCAGGAAGGTTGCTTGCTTTTAAGTACAAAATTATTTGAACATGCTACGACGGTCAACCCTTTCCACCTGGCCATTTGCATGGATTCCCTTCCTAAGGTGACAGTGCCGAAGTGGCTTCAGAGGAGCCAGCTAGTGACACTGAACTAGAAGAAGAAGAAGCAGAAGAAGAAGAAGTTGCCGAAGATGACCCGGAAATCATGGATGAAGATATTGACCGCGCGAGTTCCTTGGTTCCCCATGTTTAGATCCGAACATTTGCCTTTCGAGCTTTCTAGCTGCCCTATCATCATGTTGGACCCAGGCCAGCCGGTGGTGACGCCTGATCCAAGAAGAGACTTGTTTTGCAAAGATGGAAAAACATTTCCAGAAGAAATTTGCATCCCTTTAAAACCAACAGGGGGAAACATATTCTTAAGCAAATGGTAGGAGTCTGCTTCACGTTTGGTCTACCCCAAAATGATATTTTTCTCTTGAAGACCCCAGGTTTAGTATTAATTCATTCAGAAGCCTGCCAAGATTGAAACATCTAAGGCAAGGAGCAGTCCCCGGTGTCTCTTCCCAAGGAGTCCCCGCAAGCCTCTATAGTGCCACCTGGGGCAGCGCCTTCGAAGGTGGAGCCTGACCGCCGCAAGAAGTTGCAAGAGATGATGCAGCTGGAAATGCAGTTGCTTCAGAAACTCGAGCAGAAGCAGAAAGCTATCCAAAAGCAGGTGGTGCTCTCTGGAAGTTCCATACTTCAATGAGCTAGCTTGATTCAGTGGTTATGTTGCATGTGCCAGCTTCTTCAAACAGC